TCAATTGCGGTGTACAGTGTTTATTATGAGGGGGTAGAATCCACAGCTCAGTACTCACTACTCAATACTCATGAGTACTTTTAAATAGGCTACTCTTTTACTCTTACTCAAGTAGTTTTTTGGACAAGTACTTTTACTCTACTCACACTACATTTTTTGGAAGGTAATGGTACTTTTACTTGAGTATATTTTTTCAGTACTCTTTCCACCACTGCCTATTTGTCTAAAAACTATGAGTCTGATTGAAAGCCCAGCTAAAATATTTAAAAGCAACATAGTGAAAACCATTTTTCTCCTTAAGCATGAAAAGATGTGATTGAATGGTCCAGTATACATACAAATATTTATATTGAGAAAATATATATAAATTTGCAAAGTTTTTAAAAGCACCCATGTTGCCATGAGACAACAGACAAATTCGATAATAAAGCTAATCCGAATGAGATAGGCAAATTAAACAATCACCTTGACCAAACAGGCTCAAATTTCATATTTTGTGCTTATGTTATAGTAACGAGGCCTACAAAATGTAGATTGAAAATGCACAATGTTGCCTTGCGTGTTCTGGAGAGTGCAGTTGTGTCTAACGGTCAGGGAATGTACATGTGTCCAGAATCACTGGCTTTACGCAGTCCCCTAACAGAGCTTCCAGTCTTCACAGTTCAGAGAGCAAGGTAACTCTTAGAGGATTGGTAAGGAAAGAGATTTCTTTCACTCCTTGAAAGTCAAAATGGGGGGAGGTGTAGGGGAGAGTTTGAAAAAGTGAGGCAGGTTCCTGGCATTATCAGGACTAGGTCCTCTGTCGGGCAGCAGGATGATGTTGCCTTTCCTGCGTAGTGTGGAGTCTCGACTGGAGGTGGTGGAGAGAGTTTCTGAGGTGGCTTCACTGCTGGCTTCCACCGGTGTGACTCGGATGGTGGTGATACTCTGTTGGTGGTGGTGGTGGTGATGGTGGAAATGGGGATGATGGGGGTTGCTCATGTCAGGTAGGCTCCGGTTGCCATCGATGGAGCCGTAGCTGTCTTTCAATGACTCGCAGCTTTCGGAGTCCCGGTTCAGGTCGTTGAGCTCAAGGGACTGCCGGATGCTGCACCGCTCCTGCGGTTTCCACCTCCAGGACCCGCTGCCATCTGTAGATGGTGGTTTAACCACTGGCTTGTTCTCAGGGTGGGCCTCCACTCGAACAATGCCCGCGCTGGGATCCTGATCCATGAGGGCTTTGTAACGGATGGATCCGGTACAACTGACGGTGCTCCCCTCACTTTTAGGACTGTCGTGCAACATGCCCTGCTGCTTAGACATTGCGATGACCTGCATGATACGTGGCTGGCTGTTAGTCCGACAGGCGGTGCTCTTCTCTGCCACCTTCAGCCATTTCGACCGTGCATTCCCGCCCCCTCCCCCACCATCATTCACCTCCCTACCATTCTCATGAGGTGAGGAGCTCACATTTTCTTGGGTCTCCTCAGGGATGTGCACCAGTTGGGACGATCCTGGTCGTGACTGGATCGATACCCTGGCTCCACCAGTTAGGCCACCAGAGCTATTATGATTGGCTAATGGCACAGCACTAGCAGCTAGCTTCATGTACTGTCCAGGAGGTCCACCACGGAGCTCACCATCTAAGCCCATGGCTGAGGGTTCAGAGCTGCAGCGGAGCTCCATGTTTCGCTGGGGAGACAGCTGGCTAGCCTCAGCCTCCATTACCTGCAGAGACAGCTTGCGGTTCTCGTTCTTGGTCTTCCATTGTGAGAGCAGTTGCTTGGAACGTGTGGAGTCCATGGAGGCATGGATTGCAGCATGGCGGCGAGGCACCGGTTCTTCGAATCCAGTTGAGTGCACGCGGGGCAGAGTGTTACTGAATGTCACAAAGCTCTCCTGGCAGAGGGGACTGGGAGGTGTAATGCACTCTACCTCTGTGCTTGCCCTTTTCAAATTGGACATGTTCTCTCTGTGGGATGGGCCACGTAGCAGGATACTCTCAGAACGAGCTGAGGTAGGACGTTCCCGCATGCTCAGGCTCTTAGGTGGCAGTAAGCGTGGTGGATCTGTGTTCAGGTTTGGTAGAGGTCTCAGAGGCTCCCGCATGGCAGGTGGAGGCACCACTGGCTGGGGTTGTGGTGGAGGTTGCGGTGGCTGTGGTTGCCGGAGAGGAGGATGTACATGTGTCTTTAGAGATGTGTCTTCACTAGGTTTAAAGTTTCCAACTGCATACAGACCCTAGGGTAGTGCAAAAATGCAGAATATATACAGCAACATCAATCAATATATGCCATATAGATCTTAGTCATGATAGTGACATTTATTTTTTTGCAAATGAAAATAAGTATTTGAGAGACACTGGTATATTATATTCAAATTGTTATATGGTCTCCCAGCCTGGCCAAGCTAGTCTATAGCTGGTTTGTGTTGTGGACTGACTCAGTCATTAGGTGTATGCTTATTTCTGACTGTCAAAGGCTAGAATCTTCTCCAGTCAATGGAAACAGTCTTTAAAAGTGTTGAGTCCAGTCTTAGCTGGGTAGCCAGAAAGTCTCTCCATCACCATCTGTGAAGTAACCAAACCCCCCTAGAACCAGTCAACAGACCAGTCTGACCAGAAGATTTTTTTTTCAGCAGTGTTGTCTCAAGGTCCTGTAATGTTTCACAACACATTTTCAAATTTTTACATGTTTTTTTTGTCACCAGTAATTGCTTTGCCAAGATATATTTTCAACATTAACATTAGTTGAATGATCGACAGACTTGTTTTCATTCTCCAAAAAATAATACATATGGTGCCTACATTGACTAAAGTCCATCATAAGCCTACATTAACTTTTGAGAGCTTTCCTCATATTACTCACAGCCAGAGTATCAAACAGCATTACATAGTAATTTGCTTGACCTAATTAGCGTACACTATGCTAAGCAAACAATAAAATCGGGACCTGATGTACTGATTTACCTCAGCTGTGTTAATTCCTCCTAAAGGAGTTTTGGCATTGTTGTTGATGTTAGAAATCACAGGGTGTACATAGCACTCAAGAGCAGATTGAGCAGGGAAGAAGGAGAATTAGTGAGAGAGAAAGAAAAATGGTGGGAGGAATGTGAGGGGTGTGTGTGGGTGGAGAGCAGAAAAGAAGCCACAAGGGATTAGCATGTGCAAGCTATTTTTATCTCCATTAAAACAGCATTGTCTTATAGCACCTCGCTAATTCTCTATGATTATTTTCCAGAGTCAGGTTTCATAGAGTAATATGGATTTGTCATGGGAATATGTAAAATGAATTATTATCCACACAGCGCCTTTGAAAGCCTCAACAACAAGACTCACCAGGTAGACGGCTATGCCCCCTCCTATGAGAAAGCCACAGTAGACATCCACGGCATGGTTCTTGAACTGAATGATGCGAGTCAGGCCACAGATAATGCCGCAGATGATGAAGGAAAACACCAGGAGTGGCTTCAGGAGCTTAGATGAGTCAGTCAGAGTGGCATTAAAGTACATCTGTGGAAGGAGACCAGCCTTTTGACTGAAGTTTAATGAAAATGCTTTATAGTGGAAAGGACAGTTGGATTATTTGGCATGCAGTTAGATATCGCTTGAGTCAACTGTGCCATGAGTCAAGTGGATTACTTACGGAGATGTACACAGTCGCAAAAGCTGCCAGAGTGGCGTGCTGAGATGGGAAGGACTTCCTGTAATGAGAGACAGACAGCCTTGTTAGATTTTCAGATCGTTTTCACACTGAACACATTTGAGGTAGTGTACCATGCTAAAGGACAGATGGAAATGGAAAGCCACAGATAATCATGTCTATAGTTCCCTAACTCATATATTGCGCCAAACAGGACCAGAGTTTTTTATTTCCAAGAACTAGATAATCTAGAGACACATTTCAATGTACGTAACAGAAGCGTAAGCCTTTGGGGACACATACACACCACACCGACTCTCTTTACGTCTAATTTTTACGTTATACAAAATGTCTGCATAACATATAATCATGGCTATTGAGAGTGCATGAAAAAATCAGAGCTGCGCAAATGGATGTGTGTGGGTGTGCTGGAATGGGCAGCCGGGTTGTGAGCGAAGCAACAAGACTGAACTCTGTGTGGGTTTTACAGGAACGCCATGTGCCAGAGGACAACGCCACATTCATTCGGCTGCCTTCACATTTACCTACACTGTTTATAGTAGGGATTATATATTATATTATATGGGACCTTTACTGTAAGTAGAGTTGCTGTGCAGCAGGTCCATTTAAATTTTGTCAGCCATAATGTCAAATAATCTTTGTTTGGGTATGTACACTGAACAAAATTATAAACGCAACACTTTTGTTTTTGCCCCCATTTTTCATGAGCTGAACTCAAAGATCTAAGACTTTTTCTATGTACACAAAAGGCCTATTTCGCTCAAATATTGTTCACAAATCTGTCTAAATCTGTGTTAGTGAGCACTTCTCCTTTGCCAAGATAATCCATCCACCTCACAGGTGTGGCACATCAAGATGCTGATTAGACAGCATGATAATTGCACAGGTGTGCCTTAGGCTGGCCACAATAAAAGGCCACTCTAAAATGTGCAGTTTTATCACACAGCACAATGCCACAGACATGCAAGTTTTGAGGGAGCGTGCAATTGGCATACTGACTGCAGGAATGTCCACCAGAGCTGTTGCCCATGAATTGAATGTTCATTTCTCTACCATAAGCCGTCTCCAAAGGCGTTTCAGAGAATTTGGCAGTACATCCAACCGGCCTCACAACCACAGACCACGTGTAACCACACCAGCCCAGGACCTCCACATCCAGCATCTTCACCTCCAAGATCATCTGAGACCAGCCACCCGGACAGCTACTGCAACAATCGGTTTGCATAACCAAAGAATTTCTGCACAAACTGTCAGAAACAGTCTCAGGGAAGCTCATCTGCATGCTCGTCGTCCTCATCGGGGTCTCGACCTGACTGCAGTTCGTCGTCGTAACCGACTTGAGTGGGCAAATGCTCACATTCGATGGCGTCTGGCACTTTGGAGAGGTGTTCTCTTCACGGATGAATCCCGGTTTTCACTGTACAGGGCAGATGGCAGACAGCGTGTATGGCGTCGTGTGGGTGAGCGGTTTGCTGATGTCAACGTTGTGGATCGAGTGGCCCATGGTGGCGGTGGGGTTATGGTATGGGCAGGCGTATGTTATGGACAACGAACACAGGTGCATTTTATTGATGGCATTTTGAATGCACAGAGATACCGTGACGAGATCCTGAGGCCCATTGTTGTGCCATTCATCCACGACCATCACCTCATGTTGCAGCATGATAATGCACGGCCCCATGTTGCAAGGATCTGTACACAATTCCTGGAAGCTGAAAACATCCCAGTTCTTGCATGGCCAGCATACTCACCGGACATGTCACCCATTGAGCATGTTTGGGATGCTCTGGATCGGCGTATACGACAGCGTGTTCCAGTTCCTGCCAATATCCAGCAACTTCGCACAGCCATTGAAGAGGAGTGGAATGTTGGTCCATTCCACAGGCCACAATCAACAACCTGATCAACTCTATGCGAAGGAGATGTGTTGTACTGCGTGAGGCAAATGGTGGTCACACCCAGATACTGACTGGTTTTCGGACCCCCCAATACAGTAAAACTGCACATTTTAGAGTGGCCTTTTCTTGTGGCCAGCCTAAGGCACACCTGTGCAATGATCATGCTGTCTAATCAGCATCTTGTTATGCCACACCTGTGAGGTGGATGGATTATCTCGGCAAAGGAGAAGTGCTCACTAACACAGATTTAGACAGATTTGTGAACAATATTTGAGAGAAATAGGCCTTTTGTGTACATAGAAAAAGTCTTAGATCTTTGAGTTCAGCTCATGAAAAATGGGGGCAAAAACAAAAGCGTTTATATTTTTGTTCAGTGTAGTTAGAGTGAGCTTTTCATAAAGTCAGTCTTGAATCATTGCATGACACAGGTATTTTAATTGCAGATGTTTGATGAGAAATCCTGAAATGGTACAAAAATGTTGCCAATTTGAACTCAATTTGAAGTGGGAGTGAACTAAAAAAACTAAAATTCTTTCAAACAGATTATCACAGATGGAGGCAAATCTCAGTCCATTGAGAATTTTCTTTTTAGAAAATTTCTTTTAAACAGACCAGATTAAATCAAAATGGACTGAATTTACTTTCTTAATGCATGTTCACCATCTTATTGTGATTGACTCGTTGTATGCTACTATAAAAAAAATTGTATTTTCATAATCTTTAATTAAAATATTTGGTAACACTTTAGAATAGGGAACACATAATCACTATTAATTAAGAGTTTCCCCTCAATAAATTCCTACTTTGCTGCTTATTAATAGTTAGTAAGGTAGTTGTTAAGTTTAGGTATGGGGTAGGATTAAGATATCTAAAATATGGTCATGCAGAATAAGGCATTAATATGTGCTTATAAGTCCTAATAAACAGCCAATATGATAGTAATATGCATACTAATACACAGCTAGTTAATAGTGAGAATTGGTCCTTAAAATAAAGTGTTACCAAATATTTAGTAACAGTAACTTGATCTGCCTCTAAAACAACTTTCCTTTTCTGCTGACATCACTTGGACCACACAGGCTATTGGATAATGTCGACCAGTTGCCAAACAGCTATTTACACACTGTTTTAGCAAGCTCACATTCAGCATGGCTCAACTGACCCTTCATAGGGACTTTGATTGACATGCGATCTAAACCAATCATAATGCTGAATCTGCAATTTTTGTCTGACAAACAAACCAGACAGGAGAGTAGATTAACGTCAGTGGACTTGAACTTGAAAATGGTGTATATTGACATCTTTCCGCAGTTGAAACCTAGATGCCTTAGATACCTTCTAATGTTTATTCATGTTTATTTCATGATATAACTAGTACAGAGATGAGATGATCGCTTCACGTGTCGCTTGAACTGAGGCGCTGTGGTCTGTCACTACACATTAAAGAGCCAAAACGGTATTTATTTTTTAAATTTCTTAAAAAATGACAAAATTTGAAAGCTGAGACTTTGTTTCATACCAAAAGTAATATGCTCTGTCTTGTCTGTCGGCGTGTTGTCAGTTTTCTCTTTGCTCCGCAGAAAAAAATGCCCATCCAAACAATTCCCAATGGGTCAAATTATATCCTGCCCTACATTTTTTTCTTGTTCACAACATCACAACACCATTTCTCATTGATTTAATAGTCACAATGATAAAATAGTATGTAATGCTTGGTCTAAATTTAGACAATTTTTGGGCATGATCATGCATGTTGACGAACTACAATCTGACACAGATACCGCTCTCTGACCTGCCAGAGTTGATTACTGCTGGATCAGGCCCAGAGCAGATGTCATCCACAATGAAAGAGTTTTCATCACAGGAAGTGTTGAGGCTGGTGTAGTTGGGCTTGCACACAGTGAGGAAGTAGGGGGCGTGGTATCCTGTGGCCAGCTGGATAATATCTGTGATGAGTGCGGTGATGCACAGGCCAAACACATGGACCCCTGAAAATGAAACAAAAGTATGCTCACAGAGTCATATAAAGTAAATACAACATTTCATAAGCAGCAAGAAGACTTCATAAGCTTGCGATAAAATAGATGGAGCTTTCATTATTAATAGCAAATTCAATATAGTACAAGACTATAAAACAGACAGAATGAGTCAAGATCAAAAGAGTATTCCGAATAATATTTATACAAGCTATATTGCTTTTTATAGAGTCACAAAGAGCAGAAATATGTACACCCACCCACAAATCTCACAGCTCGTCGGATGTAAGAGTTGAAATTGCAGCCGGCGGCGTTTATGTTAGCCTCTGTTTTGATGGCGATGTTTCTTCTGGCCAAGCAGCAGTACAGGATCCCTTCCCCAATCATAATCTGTGGAAAGATGGTCATCTGTGTTTACCCAAACACACAGCACCCCCTTTTTACCGCCATCCGTCCCCTTTCTAGTGGCTTCCAGGGGTCATTTCTAATACAATCACTGACACATCAACTCCATTACTGTAATTAAAGTAATCGCTCTAATCCATCCATTCATAGCCATATGAGAGGGATTTCATCCAAAACTAAAAAAAAAATTGATGAGGGAAGGGGGTGTCTTGAAAGTCATCCAGGCCTCCACTATCGCAATGACTAAACAGTCAATTCCCTGTAAATGAAAAGCAGAAACCCATAGATTTATATGTAAATGCTTCTGAAGGGGGCATCTGCTGTGGAGGACGAGATAGAGAGTGAGAGAGATGAACAAGATCAAACCCTCCTGAGATCACACTTGCCGCACACCTACAGTCAAGTGCAGCGCTCGAGTGCAGCAGGCGCTACCATAACAGCTGGAGCTACCAGCAGGATACACATTCACACACCGCCTGCTAGCAAAGGCTCAGCCATAATACCCATATAGTACTGAGGTCCAAAACTTATTTGGGTGATTTAGCATCGAGAGAATGTTGTCGAGTGATTAAACATGGAGCAAAAGTCAAAATTATGACTCAAATGTTTGGGCTGAGGTGGCCATTTGTACCCATGCTTCACTGCAGACCAACCACAGACTTATTAACAGTGGCTGACAAATGCAAAATGCAAAGGATAACCAACAGTGATAGCACTCAAATGAGCATAGCCGCCTTGCAAAATTAATTAGGCCAGTATGCTGGAGCACCTAATGTGATGAAAACACCCAAGCGACGTGCTGGAGAGTTGATGAAACAAATATGTCATTAAACATTAAACGAATCTGCTCTCTGATGAATATAGGTGGAGCGAGGCAATTTTAAGATGATGTTGATGAGACCAACACTGGAATAACAAACTTTGAAAGCCATTGTGAATATAATAAACAACTGGGGCAATGACAGAAAGCTTGTATTTTTGGTTCAGATTTATTGATTTTTTTAAAAATTCAACTCGCATACTGAAATTCATAAAAATAAAAATAAAATTTAATATTATTAATGAATTAATAATTGATATTTGTAAAATGCTCTTCATGTCTTGCAAAAATGTTCTGAAAAATGGTATTACTTTTTACTTGGATACACCACATGACATTATTAAATTTAGGGCCAGTTTTACTAAACAGGGCAAATTAGTGCGAGAGCACAATTCCAAAACAGCGCCGAGCTGTACAGTAAGCTATTATCACTGGACCTATTTAAATCGGACAATGGACCGTTCAACCACCAAATCCAGCAGTTTGCCATAATATCAAAGTAAATGTGCATCATTGATCATTGTTCTCACTAAAAATATTTTCTCATAACATGTGATCTGCAGTTTAATTTAAAGAGTAATTATTGTGCACATTGCACTCCTCGCTGTCATTAAAACATAGCATGCCACAGGAAAAGTGATCAAGCGCATCCACTATAAATAGGCTATGTCTAAATTCATAATTTTGGTTTAACTTCTGTGTAATGACTTTATGTAATTTCAGTTATGTAATTTCTCCATTAATGAGAGTGGAATATTTAATGTAAATGTGTATATCGACATGAAAACAGAGTTTAAAATCATTGTTTACTTCATTACTTTTCTCTCTCCAGGAAAAAAAAGTCCGTACACATGGGTCAGAGTTTGCATGCAGGTGCGGTTTCCCGTCAAGTTTGTTTTTATAAATCCCACCTTTTGCGTAGGAAGTGGCATACGCCTCTTTCAGGGCAGGTTTTGTGCGTACGCAACGGTTATAAATGAGGCCCCTGGTATGGCGTGACTCCTAGTTGAGGGTTCCAAGACGTCTTTTATTTCCTGAAGCAAATTAAAAATAACATGGCTTGGCAAACGATATGTTCGAATAATGTGTTCTTCGGGCATTCTAAATAAATTAAAAAGTGTGGAAAAAATCCTCTCCCTTCTACCACGCGCTCTTTGTTCTCTGCGTTGCCTCTTCCTAGCAACAACAATTGCAGGCATTTCAAGCGCAAAACAGTTTAAGACATGCTTTTTTTGGGCGTTAAATAATGGCGCAAATACTAGTAATGAGCTAAGGACTCAGCTCGGATTGAGTTGGGCATGTCATTCTACCAGGAGGGAGCAGTTAATGAAAAACTCTGTGAAAGTGATTTTGTGCCTCTTTGAGATGGCACAATAATGCGTCATTCACTTGCAGGACACAAGCTTCTAGAGGGCACATAACTCTGAAGTAATGAATTTAGGTAAAGGGGTGCAGAGCCAGTGGTGGTTTTGTAGGCAAACATTAATGCCTTGAATTTTATGCGAGCAGCTACTGGTAGCCAGTGCAAATTGATGAACAGAGGTGTGAC